TCAGATCTGAGTGATGGCATTTGGGTCAGAACCTCCTCCCTTTCAGAATAGGTTAATGTCCAACTCTGTCCAAATGGGTTTACTTGTATTTCCACATTTTATTTCATTAAAAATTTAATTTCTACTTTATCATTATTGTGTGTGTGTGTGTGTGTGAGAGAGAGAGAGAGAGAGAGAGAGAGAGAGAGAGAGAGAGTCTTGGTACACGTGGACTTGACATTGTGCAGAGGTCAGAGAACAACTTTTGGGAGTTGATTCTTTCCTTCCCCTCTGGAATCTTGTGACCCAGCACAGGTCATGTGATTTGTGAAGCAAGGACCTTTACCTGCTAAGCCATCTCACCAGCCCTATTTTCAAATTTAATATAATCATATCTTAAATTTGTATATTTAATATCTTGACCAAGAATGTTATCAGCATAGATTTTCGGTGTCATTTGTTATTTAAAATAAGGCGATGTCAAGACGATGCATATTTTATACTACCATTAGCTAAGCTCCAATGTGTCAGTGTTTATTCATTGTATCGAATGTATACCGGAAATAGCTAAAAACCTTGAAATGTCTTATTTTTTCAAATTAGTATTCAGTTTGAATACTCATAAGTAATTAAAGTGTATGAAAAAGAACAGTATCTTTTTTTTTGTTTTTTTTTGCAGAGTGAATATTTATTCAGGGGGTTATGGAGGAGGAAGGATGAAGGGGAGACAGAGAGAGAGAGAGAGAGAGAGAGAGAGGAGGAGGAGAAAGAGACAGAGAAGGGGGGAAGCGGAGAAGTGGGGAGAGAGGCAGAAGCAAAGCTGCCTCTCCGAGAGGAAGATGGAAAAAAGCAAGAACAGTATCTTATGTGCATGGAAAAGCATTTCAAAATAAATCCAGCAGTATTCCAAAACAGCTATCATTTGATTTCCCTCATTGGATTACTAGGTGTATGTGATTTATGCTTGCTTTATATGTTAGCAGTGTGCTTCTGACCAGGAAGTGTCTTAGCAATCCCGATGTAGTCCTGTGTTCATGGATGTCTGCCTTTGGCCACAATACTGAGAAACTTAACTCTTAAGTCTATTCCAGTGAAAAGTGCTACCGAGACACTGAGGTTGTTGAAGACTATTTAGTATATAGTATTGATCTTCAGGATAGTAGGGGAAGCGACTAAAAGCCATCTGGTTTGACCAAACTAAAAGTTCAACAGTTTATGTCAAGAGACAACTATATTAGACTAGAAGAGTATGACATTCTCAATTGGGTTGTAGAATTTGACAGTGTTTGCTCAAGGACAAGAACATACTACAGAGTTGAGGACAATGATAACTTCAAAGAGTAACACAGGGGGCCAGGATATGTAGCTTACTAATAGAGTACTTGCTTAGCGTGTGTGAGGTCCGGTGGGCTCATTCAGTCTCTACTACATACACATACACAAAAGTAACATAGGGAGAGCAAATTTACTTCTTTAGTTGGATGGCTTGTACCATCTCATGTGATTAATACATAATGTCATTCTGGGATTATTAAGCCAATAAATGAATATTAATGTATATCAAACATACATGATAAATTCCAGCATTGTTCCTGCTTGTGAGTTATATAGCATATGGTAGAAATACCAAGCACTTAGTTGTAGGGTTTTTTTTTTTTTATTGTTTTGGCTCTTTGCTCTTTGGGGGGCCTGCCACCCAGCTACCAAATAAATATATACATGTAGACTTATTCTGACTTATGAATGCCTGACCTTAGCTTGGCTTGTTTCTAGCCAGTTTTTCTTAACATTTTATCTCATTTATCTTTTGCCTCTGAGCTTTTATCTTTCTCTTTTTCTGTGTACCTTTCTTTATTTCTTACTCAATGGCTTACTATGTAGCTGGGTGGCTGGCCTCTGGAGTTCTCCTCTCCTTTTCTTGTTCCTTGATCTTTCTCTTCCCAGACTTCTCCTTCTATTTATTTTCTCTGTCTGCCAGCTCTGCCTGTCCTTTCTCATGTACTCTATTGACTTTTCAGTTCTTTATTAGCCCAACCAGGTGTTTTCAATAGGCAAAGTAACACAGCTTCACAGAGTTAAACAAATGCAATTTAAAAGAATGCAACACATCTTTTTATTATTAAACAAATTTTCCATAGCTTAAATAAATGTTACACATCTTAAATTAATATTCCACAACACTTAGTAATTTATTCATCCAGGAAGGAAGCCCCAAAGATAGCTGGCATATAAAAACACATTCACAATTATGTCTTTCTAAATTCTGCAACTGACCTTGGGCATTGAGGGTTTTTTATTTTTTGTAGTATTTGGATCCAGGGCAACATGCATGCTAGACAAGTGCTCTGCCACTGAGAAATACCTCTAACCAGGAACTGATCTTGGGAAAGCAACATAAAATAGTTTTCAGAAGAGAACAGTCACTAACAGAAGACAGAAGCATGGATACCTGGGAACAAAGAATGGCTACACCTACAGAAACTCTTAATAAAACTAATGACACCCTATTGTTAGGTAAATGTGACTGAAGTGGTAATTATAAGAGCATCAATTATTTCTGAAATGAGGGACCTGGGCTGCTGTTTTCTGTTGTTTGTTTTAAATAATCAAAGGTGTGACAAACTCAGCAGAAAGAGCACAAACTTACGCCTATTTGATCAGATTATGCGGAACGTAAAGAACAGTCTTTACAGTCTCTTGTTAATAGCAAGGTGAACAGCACAGGGCCACTTTCTCTGTCTTTCTTTATTCCTGTAAGTTTTCATTTTGAGGGGGATGAAGTCTCACTCTGTAGTCCAGACTGCTTGGAACTCAATAGACCAGGCTGGTACCCAGCTCTTGGCACTCCTCCTGCTTCAACCACCTGAGCTCTATGTTATAGGACATGCATTGCCATATCAAGTTTTGTCATTTATTAACAGAGAAAAAACATCCTACTCTTACATTAATATAGCAATTGACAATAAAGAATTCACTTCCTTTAAAGTTTTTTTTTTTTTTCTGAGACAGGGTCTTTGTGGTTCTGACTTTGTAGACCAGACTGGCCTTGAACTCACAGAAATCTTCCTAACTCTTGGCATTAAAGGTGTGCACCTCTAGGCCCAACTAAAAATCTTAAAAGCTAATTAGTAGAAACAGAATTTTCTTTTTCTCAAGCTTCTACAAGTCACTCATTCAGTTTTTGTCTTTTACTTATCATTCACATTATGACATATTCACAGACAAAATTACTGATGGTTTAATTGATAAATCAAACTATACTCATCACATATACAAATATAATATCCATGTTTCCATTTTTAGTTTGGTTCACCAATCCATATAAAGCACAAAACCAGTGAGTGTCTCTAGCTCTTGCTTCCTCACAGAGCTAACTCTGGGCAAGCAATGAGTATGGAATATGGAAACATTTAGATGGCCAGCAAAAGTTAAAAACAACTGTACAACTGTAATAAAACTTCCTATGGTGACATGTTCCTTCTGCATTTTATAAGGTGCTAAATAGAACAGATACATAGGAAAAAAACGTAAAGATTTGTCAAGCATCAAAAACCAGTATACAAAGGTGTGTGTGTGTGTGTGTGTGTGTGTATGTGTGTGTGTACATGCACGTGCTTTGCTTGTTGAACAATGTTTTTGTGTTTTAGTTTCCTAAGAAATAAGTGAACGGGATGGTATCAGTCTGTGAAACCACAAAGACCGTAAACAAGATGATGTGGCAGCAGCATTTCGTTGTGGAGATCGCATTGGATCTGTTTCTTAGCAAGACATGCCGTATGCCTCTGCTACAGAATTCAGGACTTTTTCTTTTTTAGCCCCCTGTTTGGGTCTCAGGACAAATAAATATTAAAGATTCTGATACCCTGCTAAATGGAAAAGATACCACCTGATTGCTGGCTCCAGCCCTGGGTTCTTGCATTGTCTCAAAGAGTGAAGCCAACAGTCATGGCAGGACACATTCAGTTACTAGTTGCCCACCTGAAGGATCACCCCATCTTGTTCCGGTTTCTGTATGACATGCCTCCCTTATTTAACACTTAGAATTGGACTGCACTCTTAGGATTTCCTCCAGTTATTTTCTGTGCTTATCCCCTTCGTCCTCATGGCGCTGGCTCTAAAGCTTCTGGTAATGACTTGTCATTTCTGCTGACCTCATCTCAGAGTGGAGGAAACTGTGTGTGTGTGGGAAGATAAAAGGCAAGGCTTCCACCAGATCAGATGTCAGCCCGGGCAAGTCAGCACGGCTGCTCTATGCCTTAGGAAAGGGGAGAAACACAACTTTTTAAGGTGCTGGTAGCCTCTGCCTGTGAGCCCCACCTTCCATAAGAGTAAGATGGAAGGAAATGCTATGCAACTAGACGATGAATGGAATTCTGACGTCTTTAATTCCGGGCAGAGGCAGTCAGATCAGTGAGTTCAAGGCCAGCTGGTATATACAGGAACAGACGACAGTCAATGTAGAGGAAGCCTGTCTCAAAAACAAATAAATTAAAAAAAAAAAAGATGAATGGAAGTCCCCGTTCTTCCCATTGTAGAGTGGGGCAGGAGACTGCAGAGTTGGCACTGCCTTGGTGGCAAGTGGATCACTAACAAAGAGGGAGTGGCAGCCTCTCAGATCTGAATTCTAATGGGGTGTTGATCACTTTGGACTTTTATGTTATCACAAAATAAACAATACATGGAGGTGTGTTATGGCAGGCCACCAACTAGCTTCACACTGGTCCTTTTAAGTCTGCCTTCACAAAGAGGGTTAGTGCTGCTATCCCAGTTTAACAGAGAGGCAAGCAAAGTCCTACTTAAGATCTTGTGTCCAGGACATGGTACGGCCTGAATCCAAACATTGTTGGAAAGGATCTTGGGGACATGCTGTAGGCTCGCCCCTCTGTTTATCGCAGAGGGCGGAAGTTGTGTGTGTCCCCCCCCCCCCCCCAATGAAGAGACTTGTTTAAGGCTACAGGTTGAGAGTATTGAGCCGGGGGAGCCACATAGTTCTTGAGTCTGTCCGGGTTCATTTCTTCACAGCAGTCCTGGGGAGGCTGGGAGGAGGAGGAGCAGAGCACGCTTAGCGCTGAGGCTGGGGGCTCAGTCTTTCCGGGGCGGTCCCTAGCGGCTGTGCATTCCAGAGTCACCCGTGTGCGGCGCGCGCGGGGCTCTCAGAGCTCAGCACGCATCCCTGCCACTCCTGCGCGCTCCCGGACTCAGAGCCGGAGCACGTTCCCGGCCAGTAGGGCTGAGGTTCCAGAGCTGGGGTAGCTTGAAGCTGCTCGGGACCCGGAAAAGCACCGGTAGCTGCTCTAAAGCCTAAACGCGGATCGGGATCGGATAGGGGGTGAGTGAGACCGAAAGATGTCTTTTGTTGTGGGGCTCCAGCTGAGCGGGGCTCTCCGGATTGGAGACTACCCTACGTAGCCCTTACCCCTTGCCGTCTCCTGCCTTGCTACTTTGGAGTTTCTTTTTCCCATCCTTGTCCTTTACCTCCGCTGTCAGCCACTTAAGTTCCAGCCACCTTCTGCCCCATAGTCTTGGGCCTCTCAGCAGGCCGTGGTGAACCCCGCTCACTCGCAGATGGGCTTCTCTACGATTTCTCTACTTCTGCCTTTCCGTTCTCCCTCAGACCTCGCGGCTCCTGAGCCCCGGTGTGCCTGAGCACAGCGCAGGGGTTGGGCATCCACAGAAACAACAGGTCATCAGAGTCCGGAATATCTGGAGCCGGCAGTTTGTCCTGAGGACTGCTGGCTTCTAACCTAGGTGCTGCCTCCAGTTACTTCATCATCGTCTCAATGAACTGTTCAGTCACAGTGGAATGGGGAAAATATCCTTTCAGACTAGAAATGAAAACACGGTGAAAATATCTTGGAGAGGGACCCTTCTTCCACTTCTCCAGGTAATCTGTTGTTAGTTAGAGCTTAGTTTCTGCCTTACTAGATCCTTTGTACCCCTCAGCCCCTCTTCAGTTCTTTGTAGGGACAGCCCATCTGCCCTCGTTTCTGAGGCATGCCCAGGACCTGGCACAGGGTCTGTTAGATAGTAAGTGCTCCGGGTAGTTCACCGAGTAAAGGATGGAAGGTGTGAACCATCAGAATCTGTGCAAATGTCAGGGAGTTTTCTGATCGAGCAGTCTGGATGGGCTTTTATGCAGCCGGGGTTTTTTTTTTTTTTCTTCCTTTTTTTTTTCCTTCCGTGACTAGCAGAATCCTGTGGCTGGCAGTCCTCTGGTCTGTGGGCAGACAGTGAATACCAAATTACTCAAAGCCCAGGGCTGTTATGGTAGAGCTGCTGTCATTCACCAATGAAAGATCACCAGAGCATCTGCTGTGATCTGCTGTGCCATTCAGGAGAGAAGTCATCTGGGGGAGAACAAGGCCTCCCAGAGTGGAATGGGAAGAGCATTTCTGGGGAGTAGGAGATCTCAGAGTTGCCATGACTGGGGCATTTCCCTTCTCTGTACCCAGTCTTCCTCATATGTAAAATAAGGAAGTACAGTGGGACAGACGCCTATTTGTCTGTGGTAACCATAGCATGTGTTCTTTGGATTGTGTAAGACACTCACCACTGTCTGAATGCACGTAAGAAAGCCCAGCTGAGTTTTAGGCCATTACAGACCTCTGTGGTGAGAACTGAAAAAGCCACAAGTGTTTCTCTGTTGCAGCCACCCTGGGGTTGTGAGTCACCCATAGGGTGACAAGTCAAGCTATCCGGAGTTCCTGAAGCTGACCCCTCAGAACCTCAGAACCGTAGGCTCTGTTGTACAAAAAGTCTGGGGATTCCCCCTCCTTCCTGTGGTGTAGCTAGAGAACTCCATGCAAAGCTGTGGCAAGGTGTCAGAGACACGAACTGAAGTGCAAACGCTGTGGCTGGGTCAGTTGCTGGTCCCCAGTGGTGACATGACAAGGTGGTGAGGGGCCAAGGCAACCTCAGCTGCTTTCCCAACTGTGCTCTGATCTCGTCTTAAAACATGCTTCTGTTTCTTCCGTATGGATTAAAACATACAAATGAACTGGATGTCTCCAAGGAAACAGGATCTTTGCTTTGCTTGGCCTTACACTGTTTTTACTTCTATCACATTATAAAGATAGACACCAGTAAACTCCCCATGGTTTATAGGAGTGTAGTGGTTTGAAGAGAATGGCCTTCAGAGGCTCATATATTTGAATACTTAGTCACCAGGGAGTCGAACTGTTTGCAAAGGATTAGAAGGATTAAGAGGATTGGAGTAGGTGTGGCCTTGTTGGAGGAAGTAGTGTGTCACTGGGAGTGGGCTTTGAGGTTGCAAAAGACACCCCCCTTGCTGCCTGTGGATTAGAATGTAAAGCTCTCAGCATGCCTGCCTGCTTCCCACCATGGTGACTATGGACTAATCCTCTGAAACTGTAAGCCAGCCCCCAATTAAAAGCCATCTCTCTCTCTCTCTCTCTCTCTCTCTCTCTCTCTCTCTCTCTCTCTCTCTCTCTCTCTCTCTCTCTCTCTCTTTCTTCTTCTGATACCCCAGCCCACCATTCTGGCCACATATTCTGAATGATAATCCTACTTGATGTTGATTGGTGCTTCCAATACAGGCATAATTCTGAGCGTTTACACGCACTGTTTCATCTAGTCTCTACTATAATCCTATCTTCCACTTAATAAATGAGCAAACTGAGCTCTGGAGAAAATAACTCATCCATGGTCACACAGGAAGTCAGTGGCAGGGCACAGTGCGATGCTGATACAGTGGCTTCAGTATATAGCCTTCAAATTTCTCCGAACCCTGCAGAAACAGGGATCAAATCTTGTATAAGCTACAGGATGACATGGGAGAGATTAAGTGAGAATTCATCAGCCATTATGCTTGTGGATCACCAGGGACCCCTAGATCCCTTAAAGTTCTTTTTAAAGGTAGAAGGTGAACCTCAAGAAGGACCAGGATGTTAAAGGCTAAGTGCAGGGTAGCCAGGAGATGGGGGGAACAGATGAGAATTAGAACTGCCTGCACATTAGATACTGGCAAGCCTGATTCAAACTGTATGCTTACAATTTTTGTTGTATATCGATATAGCTTCATTATCCATTGATTTGGATTCTGATTGCCTGACTGGATATGACTTGCTGGTGACCCGTTATAAATGGACTAGCAGAGGGAGGAGGACAAAGGAGAAAAGCAAACTCCATACTTCCTGAATTAGTTTGAATCAATAATGACAAATGCCTGGTAGGTGTTGCTACCTGTGACACCTGCTGCAGGCAGACATTGCTAATCAGCATGTTGTACTTCTCCTCCTCAGGTCCCCAAAACCTTAACTCAGTGGTGGGACTTCCTTTTTGTCCCAGACTTCATTTAATTGCTCCGAGGTACGGCTAGGGATGTTGGAAGTGACAAAAGCCATGTCTGTCCATCACCTTCGGAGATAGCCCGGGGCTTCTGAAATGATTACCCTTTGTTTCTTTAATTTTATTTTTAACATTTAAAAATTGCTGAAAGTTTCACAGTGGGTTAAATAAAACTATTTTCATGCAAGTGTGCATTCTCTTCCCACACTCACTATCCGGTCCTTACCCCCCCCCCCCCGTTTCCTTTGCTGTCTTAGGTAGCTTCGCTTCTGCTTTCATAGCGGCTGTGCACGTGTAATGTATAGAGTCTAGTATCCACACATGAGAGAAAACATGCAATTTTGTCTTTAAAATACTTAACTTTTTTATTTATATATGTTGTGTGCTTATATGTGGGTACCTTGGAGCTGGAGTTATAGGTGGTTTGGAGCAGCCTGATGTGGGTACTGGGAACTGAACTCAGGTCCTCTGCAAGAACAGCATACCAACAACAAAACCCCAACAGAACCCAAATCCTCCAAACCCAATTTATCAGACTTCAATTTGGCAGCTTTGAACACTTTTATTCTGGGAGAGCTCCACAGATTAGCATCTGTCTGGGTGGCATGAGAGTATGTATAATCAGACATCGTAGAGTTGCCGTTCTCCAGACTGGAGGGCAGAAATGTTTCCTTCTTTGAGTTGTTGGCAGAATTCCCTCCCTTTGGTTGTGGGCCCAAGGTTACCATTTTCTTTTGGGCTGTAAACAGAGGACCACCTTCTGCTCCTGACAGGTGCTGTAGTCTTTGGCTATCAGCTGCCTTCCTCATTCAGATCAGCAATGAATCAATCCTTCCCACAGCCTTTTAACCTGGTAGTTCCCAACCTGTGGTTGCGAACCCAGGATGACTGACCCTTTCACAGGGGTCATGGAAATAACAAATATTTACATTACAGTACATAACAGTAGCAAAAATACAGTTATGAAGTAACAACGAAAATAATTTTATGGTTAGGGGTCACCACAGCATGAACTGTATTGAGGGGTCACAGCATTAGGGAGGCTGAGAACCACTTCTTCTCTAACCTTCCACTTGAGTTTTAGAGGTTCCTGTGGTGGGCTGGATCTATCTGGATATTCCAGGGTGCTCTCCCTGTAGAGGCACCCCTAACATGAACCACATCTGAAAACTTTTACCCGTGTTCTCTTGGTCTTACCCTGCAAGTCACGATTCCTTTCCAAGGGGACATGGATATCTTTTGGGGCCATTTTTTTCTGCAGGCCACACATGTGAAGCAATCTTTGGGAGAGTGGCTGGTTTACTATTATGGGGAGGCAGAGGCTTAGCACCTTCATTCTGTGCTTCGTGGCTGTGCGAGAGTCCCTGCATCTGTGGGCAGTCTCCTTTGTCAGCTAGCACACAGTATTCAAGCCACCAGTGAGTAATGATGGATGGTACTGCCTCAAACAGGATGCTGTGGATTTGGCCTGTGTTTTCTCTTCTGCTGGCTTGCGGCTGGTTTCCGAAACTGTGTGCCTGGCCAGTCAAACGCCGTCTACAGGCAGTCTCAAAGGGCTCTGGCTGCTTTTCTGATGTCTGAAATAAATAGCCTGTGTTTTTCCATTTTCTAGCCACAGAGGAGCAGAAACTCAAGCAATGAACAAGTCTGTATCCATTAGGAATTTTGGAGAAGTAAGATCAGTCAGGATGCGATGAGAACAGAGTGTCCCTTCAGTATCTTGGGACATTAGAGAAAGGTTTCTGATTTGATTCATATCCCATTTTTGATATTTTGTCTGCCGTGTTCCTTTCTTCTTTTGGCCCATTTATTTGGAATACATTTCCCTTGTGAAATGATTATGCCAGGCTGGCAAATGTTTGAGGCTGTTATACAATGGGACGGGAGCTGCCATTTCCAAGACTTAATGGGTGGCCGGAATGTCCTCATGCTGTACATGGCATCAGGAACCCCTCTTTGCCCAGCCTCCCTGTTCTTTTCTGAGAGCGGAGAAAGGCTCACACTGTGGGTACTCCCCCGCTG